CCTAGAGATCACAAGGGCTCGAGTGACTGTTGTGAGAGCCTCCCGGTCCAGGTAGGGCCGCAACTGGCGCACCAGGCGAACCTGGGCAAATGCCCCCCTGGTCACAGCCGACAAGTGATGGTCAAAACTCAGCTGTGGATCCAGGAGGACTCCCAAGTTGCGGACCCTGTCTGAGGGGTATAAATTTTGCCCCCCCAGCCTGATTGGTGGCACGTTGACCAAATTTTTGGGAGGAAAACACAACAGCCACTCGGTCTTTTCCGGGTTGAGTACCAGTTTGTTAGCTCTCATCCAGTCTTTAACAGCCTCAAGGCCCCGGTTCATCACGTCCACCGCTTCATTGAGTTGGCACGGGGCGGACAGATACAACTGCGTATCGTCCGCATATTGATGGTACTTAATCCCGTGCCTCCGAATGATCTCGCCCAGCGGTTTCATGTATATGTTAAATAGCAGGGGGGACAGAACCGAGCCCTGCGGCACCCCATAGGTTAGGGGCCTCGGGGACGATCTCTCCCTCCCCACCAACACCGACTGCGACCTGTCCGAGAGGTAGGAGGAGAACCACTGTAAAACAGTGCCGCCCACCCCCACCTCCCGCAGTCGTCGCAGAAGGATACCATGGTCGATGGTATCGAAAGCCGCTGAGAGGTCGAGGAGAACCAGGATGGACGCATAGCCTCCATCTCTGGCTCTCCAGAGATCATCGGTCAATGCGACCAAAGCGGTTTCAGTGCTGTAACCGGGCCTGAAGCCAGACTGGAAGGGGTCAAGGTAGTTAGCTTCCTCCAAGGTACGCTGTAGCTGTAAGGCCACCACCTTCTCCACAACCTTCCCCAGAAAGGGGAGGTTGGAGACTGGACGATAGTTGTTAAGAACTGCTGGATCCAAGGACGGTTTCTTCAGGAGGGGCCTCACCACCGCCGCCTTAAGCGCGGTGGGGAGGTGTCCCTCCCGAAGAGAGGCGGTAACAACCGCCTGGATCCAGCCTCGTGTCACCTCTCTGCTGTTGGCAGTCAGCCAGGAGGGACACGGGTCCAGTATGCAGGTGGAGGAACTCACAGCTCGCATAGCCTTGTCCACATCCCCAGAGGCAACATCCTGAAACTCAACCCAGAGATGGTCTACCAAGTTATTCCCCTGTGTCCCGGCTGGATCTGCAGGGGTGGAGTCCAGTTCCGATGAAGATGCAAGTTTGGACATGTATGAATTAGTTATAGAGATAACATATTTATGAAGGAAAATTGGCTTTCTGCTAGCATTCTTCTGAACCCTTTTTTTGCTTTGTAGCAAACACCGCAGAAAAGACGATTGCTGAATGTATAAAAAAGAAACGCAGATTGCTCTTTCAAGTTTCTTCTGCTTCCAGGCTTAGATCTGACAAATATTTGAAAGGGAGGGGACATTACATTCTTTGAATGTAGTATTGTTTACTGATAAATTTAAGGATAGACTTTATATTCCTTTTTCCCCTTTTAAAATATTCCTAAATCCCCCAAAGATTAAATAGAAGAGGATGCAATAATTATAGCCCCCAGCAATATATAAGCGATTGTCACTGGTACAAATAAAAAATCCTTAGAAAATGTATTTCGGCATGTGAGATATATTTTACGGTATGTAAATCTTTTATAAAACTAGTGATGCCTTTTTCCATTATTCAAAACTCTCTTCACTGTCAATATAAGTGTGTAGTCTCTGAAATGGTAAATTCTAACGGCTTTATCATAGTTTTAGAAAGTTACATGCTACTAATCTTTGTAGATAAATCAATTTCTCAATGAACATCTATTCTTCAATATGTAAATAGACTTTTTGTATCCCCATAATTTCTCTTATAGCAAGCTATGCTTCTAAGATTCCCATATTTGCTTCTGAACTGTACTTGCATACACTACGGTAATGCTTTACTGAATTATTTTTAAGAAATCATATAAAGAAAACTATTTGAAGTTACCTAACAAACATTAACATTTTCTGTACATTATATCTATTGTAAACTATTTTCAGCAAACCTATATGGAGATAAATGAAATAATATATTTTAAAAGTAGAAACCTGTTTTTGCTTAGATTCTTGATATTACTCTATAGTAATTTCAGTTCAAACCATTAGAATTATTTGATTAAAAATTGAACTACTGGTACCGTGTTGCCTCGAAAATAAGACATGCCCTAGCATCTCACCGGCTCAAGGTTGACTCAGCCTTCCATCCTTCCGAGGTGGGTAAAATGAGGACCCGGATTGTTGTTGGGGGCAATATGCTGACTCTGTAAACCGCTTAGAGAGGGCTGAAAGCCCTATGAAGCGGTATATAAAAATCTGCTATTGCTATTGCTATTGCCCTGCTAATAAGCCCAATCGGGCTTTTCAGAGCATGTGCCATAATAAGCCCTCCCCTGAAAATAAGCCCGCCCCCAACTATATAAGCGCATGCGCAACTGGTCCCCGCCATTACCACTGTACTATCTACCGGTACAGCTTGCAGGGCAAAATGAGGGCTCGCCGCAAAAACAGCGGCAGACAAAGCCAAGTGCTTCCACCCTTCCCTCCCACTCAAACAACGGCAGGACAGCAATGCGATCACCCCTTGCCGCCCGTTTCTTCTTGCGCAGAAAAACAACGCCCACCCCAATGGTAAAGGCAGCCTGCTTAGTTCCTTTCCCCGCTGTCCCTTTAGTGAGGGGTGGCAGGTGGGGAGGGGAGAAGCGAGGCGTACCTCTTACCTTTCCAGTTCCGTCGTGTTCCTCACCCTTTCGCCCATTGAATCCCCTTGTAAAAAAAACCTCACAAGTTGAACTAAAGAGGTTTTTTTTTACAAGGAGATTCAATGGGCGAAAGGTAAAAGGCGCGCCTCGCTTCTCACCTGCCCCAGAAAATAATAAGCCCTCCCCTATAATAAACCCAAGGACATATGTCGTGCGGCAAAAGAAAATAAGACCCTATCTTATTTTCGGGGAAACACGGTACTAAAGTGAAAACTTTGATTTAAATAAATCTATCCCATTAGTAGTTGATGTGTTGCAAGTTGAGATCTTGAGTTAAATATAACTTTTTGTTTCATTTACTATATATATTACACATACTATAATAGAAGCAGTATACAAATATGTCATTGTGTTTGTCTCTCTCTCTCACGTTTTAGGCATCATCAGATAAATTTGGGCAACTAAACTTAAAAAACTTGAATCATAGAAAGAATGGGGAAAAGTAACATAAAAATATTATTTATGATTCTTTTCCTTTGGGGAAAATATTTGCTGTAAAATATGTGGTGTCAGCTAAAATAAAAATATGATGTTCTAGATGTATCATTTTCATTTTTAACCCCTTCATTTGCTTTCCAGATCATGTTCTAAAATAAAGTCATACAAATGAAAAATGTCAAGTATTCAACTACAGTTTGGAAGTTTTTGTTGTGGAAATTTATATTCCAGATTAAAAGATGAAGACTAGAGCACTAATATTAGGTTTTTCCCTCCCATTTCATTTGGAAATGATTCTAAGCAATTTGCATGTGACATTTATATAAATAAAGTGAAAAGATACAAATTTTAGATGAAAAATAAGAATTATTGTTGAATTACTTTTTAGGTTTTTGACATTTATATAANAGGGTCCTGATCGCTCACGCCATCTGACCTTGGAGTGGGACTCATAGGGCCGGAAGGAGGGATCTCTGCAATAGCTTGAGGAAACTTACATAGTAGGATTAAAACATCAAAAATTAATAACTAAAAACAATCAAAACCATGTAAAGAGCATTTCATGCACATTTAGGAAGATAATAATATAAGCAAATCCTCCACTATCATCGTGGAATAGACTAATCCAGCCCAGCCCAGCTCTGATAAAAGAGCTAGACTGTTACAGCTTTGTGGAAGCCAAGAGAGTCAGGGCTATATGGATTTCAGGGGCATGCTGGTCCCTGATCTCACGAGATTACAGTGCTTTTAAGCTGACAGGAGGAGAAGAATCCCATAGGCTACCAGAACTTAAAGAGTTTCTAAGTGAACACCAATTTGAATAGCACCCAGAAGCCCACTACTAGCCAGTATACCTTGCAGAATAATGGTATTACATGAATGAAATGAGGAATCTCATAGTTACCTATGAGCTGCATTTTGGGCCATTTGGAGGTTCTGAGTACTCTCAAGGTGAGTCTCATATAGAGCACATTGCAATCATGTAGATCCTTGTGGAACGGGGGAGGTCACTAATTCAGTGAGTCATGTCCTCTTAGAGTCTTCATTCTGTTTTGCTGAGATTCTGTTCAGATCTGCTCCTCATTGCTCCTTTCATAAGGAATGAGCCAAATAGATAGATGAAATTTATATCCACTTCCATTTAATATATTCCAGCATTAAGGCATTTTCAGTTGCCAAGATTCTATTTTTCTACTAACCGTTGAACCAAGAGTCTGATCATTATTGATTCCCTTTATTTAAGTTAATATGGCATTTGACATAGACAACCAGGATGAGTGCTGCTAAATACCCTGTCAACTCTCAAAAGCACTCTAGCCGAAACCATATTTTCTTGCTACATTTCTTAGTTGCCATACTTATTGGGGGAGGGGGGGGGGAGGATTTATGGAATGTAGAATGTTTTCTTCCAATGTGCCGGACATAACAACAATAAGGCTCCTGAGAACCAAGGCCAAATCAATGTGCCCTAGCAACGACAGGAGGGAATGCTGAGAAGTTCATCACCTGCTTGGTTGGCTAATGTGACCTGTTACATGAGAGGGGGTGGACAGTATTTATTCTTTAATTATACCCAAAACACGGGAATTATTCAGGGTTGGTGTCACTTTGGACTGTGCCAATATGATGTACCCAATAAACTGGATTTTTGAGGAGCCAAGGCCTCAGAATCTTGAATTGGTTGGGAGCATTACTCATAATCATGACATTAAACCAATACTGAATAATTCCTGCATTTTTGTTATCCCTTATTCACGTGTGACATCTCATCATCCATTCTCTCTGACTTTTCAGTACAAACCTTGGTTTCTGATGGTGTATGGAATTGCTGCCTGTTGGTTTCTACTGGGGTCCAAAGGACTGACTATGATTTTTCTACATGTCAGTATCTCGTATTTAGTAGCCCAGTTGAAAAATCCAATGCTTACATGGTTGACTTCCTTGCTTCTGTTGTCAACTCTGCAACTATCTGCCGTAGAAGAAGTGAAGGTAAATTACACATGTAACTTTTGTGTGTGTTTATTTTGTAAAAGTCTGGGATTTTGAGAAATTTAGAGGAATCACTCTTAGAAGATGTTACAGTTTGCTTACAATGTTTCCACATTAGAAATTTAGAAATAAAACATGTATGTACGTACATTATTGAAAATACATAGTTACTATGTTTATTTTACAAAAGGAAAACAATGACCTGATACCTGATAATTTTTTAAAAGCAAGAATTGGGTTGATTCCTTCATACAATGTAGGCATAAAAAAAATTAAATACTAAATGGCCAGTGGCTAAAGTTGGCATTTCTTAACTGAGGCTGATAGTAAACCATAGCGTGAAGGAGATGAAAATAACTTGAAGAAAAGTTGATGTAAAGTAAGCCAGATGGATTTTAAGTGGTTCTGAAGTAGCAGCAAAATCATACACTGTACCAGTTAATATACCTATATCTCAGTAATGCAAATGCAAATTACTGCAGTACAATTGAAAGCAACAGTTCTAGGTTTATGTATATGCTTATCATTTGTAATAATGATCACTGTAAAACAGTGTTTCTTAAAGACTCAGCTTAGCTTATTTGAGAATCTGCAGCAGCATGTGTGCGTATGTGTCTGTATGTGTATGTATGTATGTGTATGTATCAGAGAGATATACATATACTATATGTATAAATGTATATACATATGTGTTTGTATGTACTGTGTGTGTAAAAAGAAATAAATATTACTTTACACTGTGGGCCTAAGTCGCTAAGGGAGTTTTGGATAATGCAGCACTTTCAGTTTGCTTCCTGGAAGATTATTTTCCTAAATTCATACAGGCTAACTTAGAATAGTTTCAATGAAATAATTGGGCACTGTGATGGTGCAGTGGTTAGTGGTTAGAATGCAGTACTGCAAGCTAATTCTGCCGACTGCCAGCAGTTCGATTCTCACCAGCTCAAGGTTGACTCAGCTTTCCATTCTTCTGAGATTGGCAAAATGAGGATCCAGATTGTTGGAAGCAATATGCTGACTGTGTAAACCACTTAGAGAGGACTGCAAAGCACTATGAAATGGTTTATAAGTCTAAGGACTATTGCTATAGTGCAGGGATGTCAAACCTGTGTCATCATGGCGTTGTCATGTGACATATCAGAACTTTCCCCCCCCCTTCACTAAACCAGGTGGGGCTGGGGTCAGCACTTGATACATCTGGCCCGTGGGCCATGAGTTTGACACCCCTGCTATAGTGCTATTGCTATGGAATGAATTTGTTGGCTGTATTCCGACTTTGTCTAATGCTACCTTTCACCAGTAAAACTCATAGGAAGCGTTTGGATAATATGAAGCAATTATGGAGTTTTTCTTTTATAAATCTTAATAAATTTTCTGGCTATGGAAATTACTTTTAATAGCTATGTTAATTTTTACGTAATCTTCAAATTGGTTTCATTTTTTTCAGAGAGGCTGGTATGCCAGTGAAAATGAGTATTATCTACTAGTTTTCACCCTGATTGTACGCTGTCTCTATTATACAAGCTTCAGTCTGGAATATTGTTGGGATAGGACTACTGAGATGGTACAGCATTCATTCCTTTGGATGTTGTCATATACATTCTACTATCCTGTGTTTCACAATGGACCTGTTATCACCTTTGATGAATTTTATGCACAGGTAACAATAGTGGATTGCTTTGATGTTCTTGACAGTATGTTTTTGTATTGCTTCTGATGCCACTTTTTAATATCTTACTTCATGTCAGAGAAAGTGATAGCAACCAAAATAAATCTGCACAAAAGCTTTTGGATGGTTTCTGTAATAGTAGGAACCCAGAGTTTACATTAAATAAAGGCATGGCCATAGTGTTGATTGTATTATATGGATTTTAAATTAACATTCTATCCAAACAGAATTCATTATAAGTAAATCAAATGTATGCGTTTATAGAAGAGGGAAAATAATAAAACATACAGAATTGGGATGAGAAATATTGGTTGACAATAGTTCAAATAGAATGAATGTTAGGAATGCAGTTAAATGTCAAGCATCAGTTAGCAATATGATGTTTCTGGGGGGGGAAAACTCTCACGCAATTTTACTCTTCAGTAATAGACCCATAATTTTCAGATGATGATGATTAGCATATGGTATTGTTATATTAGCCAGGAGACCACAATGCTATTGTAAAATAGTAGTTTGGATGTCAGTTTACCAGTTCTGTTGTGAGAGAGATTCACACACTTCCCAAGGTATGCCACAGGAAGGCGAGTTGACTTCACACCAGAAAAAAAGGTGAGCAGCTCTTCCTGCAGTGTCATCCAAGCTCCCCTCCCTTCCCTGGAGCTGCATCACAAATGGGTGTTGCAACCAGGAAGGTTCAGAGCTGGCAGGAATCTGACTACTTATATGGAACACCAATTCGTCTCCCCACCGAAGTGGTACTTGTTTATCTACTTGCATAAAACATGCTTTCAAACTGCTAGGCAGACAGAAGCTGAGGCGTGTGATCGAAGCTCACTCCACCACACAGTACTTGGACTTGAACTGCTGGTGCAGAGATGATGGATTCAGCATCATGAAGCCACTGAGCCATCAGGCCTCTTATAATTTTCAGACCATGAAAAGTAATAATTTGAATTTTTCTGTGTAAGCCCCATGCTATTTTGGAATACTAAATTGAAAACATTACTTTTAAAACTTATGCAGAAAACCTCAAACAGGTTCAGAGGATCTATTGAAAATTTGGATATAATGGCCCAGAAAAGCGAATGGAAATATTACTATATTTTTCAAATACATTGAGGATGAGAAAGACTTAGTCTGTGCTATCCCAGGAGTAGGGCTAAATTTACAAATTCAAGAAATTTTAACTTTAGTTGAGTATTTAGCTGAATCTTGAGAAGTGTAGCTTCATGGTGGTAGTCAATTATTAAGAGTAGGAGATAGCTATAATGGAAGTAGAATATTTGCTGGGAATACAGTAACTATAGATTTGAAAGTATTATGCCAGGCCCATTCATTTTGATTCTGAATCTGTGAACAAGTAAACTGAAGCTATGGTGATTTTTAGAATTGGATATTGAGTTTTTGCTTATTAGATTTAGCCCCGTTTTCTTCAACCATGTGAGACATGAAGGGTGTCTGCATAGAGCTGATGGCATGTCAGGGCCTGGAGAAAAAAAATTGAGAGTTTTAGGTATTCAAAGAGAGAATTTTTAATAGCTCTAGTACAAGGCCCTTTGAGAATTCATGCTAGAAAATTCCTTTTGAATTTATATTAGATGATTATTCTCATTAGCTATTTTAATTGTATTTTTCTTACTTGAAAAATTCATGTTGATGAGATTTTAAATGGATAATGTTTTAAATATTGGCCTGTTTCCATAATTTATTTTAAACAGAAATGGTCTCTCTGGAGGGAGCTGGGAAAAGTAGAGCACAGTTTGCTCTGCCTGTTGATAAAAAAGATCTATATGTTTATATAAAATTTGGAAAAAGTACATTTTGTACATATGAAGTTCATAGATCAGAGGGAGTTATTTCTTAGATTCTTAATATCCCTCTCACCAGCCATCACTCTTTTTTAGAACTGGATATTAGTCTGAGTTCATCAGGCTGTTAGCGGTTCTGATCAACCCCTGTATCCTTCCTGGAGTTGGGATGGGACAACTTGCTTCAGCCAGATCCCCATGGCCAGCTCACCTCCATCAGCTTGCTGCTGCAAATTCACAGGACCACAGGACAACTTCACAGAGCAACTTGCTGCAGGGATAACTTGCTGTGGGTGGCTGGAGGGAGACCTGGGCAGGTGAGTGAGCAGGTGGGCAGAGCACACAGAGCAACAGATAAGTGGTGGAGAGGCAGAGGCAGCTGGGAGATTCCTATTTTAACACCCTGCTATGACCACTGCACCAGGCTTGAAGCCCTGCGTGGCAACGGCAGCAACTCCGAGCCCGATGTGCTGCTGCTGCTGCCATCACCACACCAGACTCATAATGGCTGCTGCTTCAATCCCTGTGCTGTGCTTGCAGCTGTCATCAATGTTATGTGGCACTGGGCTCAGAACCATTGCTGATGCAATTGCTTCCACACCTCTCACCCTTACTACCAGCACTGCCATCCCCAGCCTCTTCTGCTTGAAGCCTGGTGTGGCAACAATGAGGGGTGTGAAAATGGGAAGGCCCCAGCTACTGCTCCTTTCCACCACCTGCCCCAACATGCTCTGCGTTCTGCCCATTCATTCGCCTGCCCGCCTGGATCTCCCTCCAGCTGCCCGTGATGAGTTGTGCCAGTGGTGAGTTGACTGTGGAGAGTTGTCCTGCGGCAACTTGGTGGCGGTAAGTTGGCAGAGTTTTGAAACTATGTTGCTTCCTACTTTGCAAGGAAATTAGCCACCCAGTGGCCCTAAACATCTCAGCTGCTATTCATAGTTCAGTATTTTAATGTTGGCTATATAACAGGAAACAGGTGTGTCAACATGCCTTAAGATGTATGATTGGCATGCATCAGAACTGAATTGACAACACTCTGGGGATGTGTTTTCTCTTTCCTCCACAGTGATAGTTTCTTTAAAGTAGTTGCAGATAGTGAGATGTTATTAAAGATGAGTCAGTGTGGTATCCGGCAAGCTTGCTGAAAGATGTAATAAGAGTCATTAAGTAATCTTCTATTCTTTATGGAGAATAAGCCAATCATCTGTGTAATCACTTCCTAGCAATGAACAGAAGAAAAATAGAGGGGGAAAAATCAAGTAAAGAAATTGGAAGTTGGCTAAATGAGGAGTTTCCTCATTCCTTTTTCTGCAACAACTAAGGAAATAGCTTCTTAAAAACACCCCAGAATTCTACTTTATATTTAATAGTCAAAAGTCTACAATAATCTTAGGGAAGGAGGAGTAATCCTGTTGAGCAGGAGATCAGATATATAATCCTATTAAACAATTTCATAGACGTTAGAAGAAATATAAAATTGAGATATCTAAGTCATATATACCCTTCACCTTCAACCAGTTCTGCCTAAACGATCGGAAACATCATATTTCTTCCCTGATCCATCTGAGAACAAAAAGCTTGTTTCAGAAACAATTATCTCAACAGGTGATAAAAGCTCGAATGCTGATGACATTCAAATATACCACACTTCCCTTTGGAAAGAGTTCTGCCAGCTATTACAGGTTGAATGAAATGTTACAGAATGAGCAAACTTGCTCAGGGAAATTCACGTACTTTTCATAAACTGAATTTAGGGAAAGTTGTAAATGTGAAAGACAATAATCATAATTCACTGGTGGTATAAAGTAAGATGTTTATGTTTTTAAAAAAATGTCCATTTTTTTAATGGCCGTGATGGCGAACCTATGGCATGCATTCCACAGGTGGCATGTAGAGCCCTCTCTGTGGGCATGTGAGCCATCACCCCAGCTCAGCTCTACCATGCATGCAGCGTGCCTCCCACTGGCCAGCTGATTTTCAGGTCTCTGCTGCACATGCAGGGGGGAGCGGATGCCTCCCCCACAGTCCGTTTTTGCTCTCAGGAGGCTGCAGGAAGGTCTACTTGGCCAAAAACGGGCCGCAGGATGGCGCATGCACATGTGTGGGTAGAGGGGAGAACAGGGGTGGGGTCACATGGACATGTGCAGCGGGCGGGCCATGCAGGGGGATGTGCACATATTGCATTATGGGTGCGGGTGTATGAACTGTCTGTTGCATCCATGTATACATGTTTTTGGCATGCAATGACCAAAAGGTTAGCCATCACTGGGTTAGGAGCTTATCCATGTAATCCAACAGCTAAATGTTGTATATCATTATCAAAATGCCCAAGGCAAGGGAATTCTTATGCTAAAAATGCTAGATGAATTCATTATTTTTATGTAATAATAAAATCATACAACTCATGATGCCATGCAACTGAGAATCTAAAGTATACACAGAAATATTATTTTCAAAAGAAAATTAATAATGGTAGGTGACTAACATTATTAGTTTGAATTGGCAAAAGTTTTTTAAAAAACCTGATATTTGACATCAAAAATGCATAAAGCTGCACTTCTATTTATAAATACTCAACTGAAACTAATTCTGTTTACATATGTTTTTTCATAAGAGGGCATAAGAAATATATTTTCTTTAAGGAAAACAATTACGTAAGAAACATTATCAGTGAATATGGCTTTTGGGAGCAAGATGGCATACATGTTACCTGCTTCCAAGTGGTGCTAGTGGAATACTTTTAAAAGTTTGCAATCTTAAGAGATCACCAATTCTTATAAAATTTCAGTGTTCCACAAGAAATGTTTGGTGAGAATGCTAACGTCCGGTAATGTGACCATTTGCATCATTTGTGACTACCGGTGCTCCCTGGATCAAAGATTAGGAATAATTGAATTACATTATTTGCACTATGATGACAATATTAATATGTGGATGATAAAAGCCCTGATGATCTGGCTGTGCCAGCTGGCATGAGGATCTACTAGTGCTAGACAAACCGTGGGAGTGGTAGACGACTTTAGGGTGTTCCTTCTGCTTTAACTTTCAAAATCTGCCTTTATTTTTATTGTTTTAATATTGCTTTTATTTATTTTTAAATCTGTTTCTAATACTGACTTTTAAATAGTGCTATGAGTCACTCACAGTCAGTTGGGTGGTGTAAATTTGATAGATAAATAAGATGCCATATGTATGGTCTTCACATGTCAGTCACGACTAGGCTTTCTTCAACAGCATGTTCATAGACTATGCTCACTAAGAATTCTGGGAGTGATCTATCATATCTAGAGGACAGCAAGCTGCTCTATAGATTGTTGTTTTGGTAGTGTGGAATCAAACCCAGGATCCAGAAAGCAATAATCAAGGCTCACTATAGTGTTTATTTATTTAACAGTGCTCACAGGAGAGGTTCTCTTCCAAAAGAAAAGTGGGGGACACACCCCTGCAGACAAATAGATCAGTGGTGGGTTTCAATTTTTTTTTGCTATCAGTTTGGGGGCCGCGGCTAGGTGGGGGCCAACTTGATGTTACTCATGCCCACACCCAGTCAGTCACATAACCCCCCACCAAACCATACCCACAGGAAAAGGTAGGAACATTTTTAGGATTTCTGCCTATCTATCCCTGCCCTCCCTTTGCCTGTCGCCCCCGTTTCCCCTTCTCTGGTGGCCCCACTTCCTCCTCCTCCACTGCCTCTGGTTGCTTACCTTCCAAACGGACTTGCAAGACAATGGGATGCACATGTGTGAAGAAAATGCAATGACAGCAGCAGCTTTTTCGTCGACCAGAGGACTTTTCAGCGGCCTGCAGCCAGCCGCTGCCTCTTTGAGAGTTCAGTATGCAAAGTGTCGGGTGATCGAGCAATGACCGGGTGGGTGGGGTGAGCAACCGGCAATGGGGACAGGTCCAGGGGCATGGCCAGCTGGCCATTGCTACCAGTTCACCGAACTGAGCAAAATTTCTGCCACCGGTTCAGGCAAACTGGTGCGAACCAGCTAAACACCACCTCTGAAATAGATGCATGGGTATTATACATTTCAGACAGGAGGGGAAAGTGATGCATGCATTTGAAATACATCTCAGGTTACTTCCTGCCCTTCTGTTACCTACAGAGAATAATGATTGTTTTCTACAGATATCAGAAGGGCAGGAAGTAACCGAGATATATTATAAATATGTATGTTAGAAGAAACATTTGTATCTTGAGATTCAGCGATTGCTATGGGGATGTTCTGATAAAACCATAGTTGTTGCAAGGACATATTCCCTCAATTTGCCTATCAAACAGTCCCATTCATCTGAAAACTGTTTTTGCTCCAGAATAGTGTTTTTTGTATGTTTCATCATTTTTACAAATTTCTTTATTATCTCCCGTATTATGATTAAACGCATATGTCCTTCAGATTACAAAAATCCAAGACTATCAGCAAGCACAGTGCATTTTGTATTGTTTACATGTTTTAATTTTCAAACACAGAGACTAAATAAAAATTCTGATTGGAATTAAAAAGGAAAGAAAAGATTGCTTGACACAATAGTCAATTAAAATCCAATTCTATACAGTATTGATGTTTAATTTATTCTAATACAGATGAGCAAACAACAATCCTGCAATTGGAAGTCCAATCTATCTATTTTCATCTGGGGAGCCATTCGTATTTTGATTTGGTGGTGGTTGGCAGAATTGATGATTCACTTTATGTATATGCATGCTCTCTACAGCAGCATTTCACACCTGGAAGCAGTAACTTACTGGACGTTAGGTGAGTGTATGTCTTTGTGTATAGAACTGATTGTTATGTATTTATTAGGTGGCTAATCCTAACTCAGTGTAGAATCTATGTGCCCAGCAGGTTCACCAATAACAGAAGCAACAGAATGAGTTTCAGCATGAATTTATTGATTCAAATAATTACCTTTTTTGAACATTGCTTGGTTCAACAGAAATGAAGTAGAGATATCCACAGATGATTAACATTGCCTTCTCACTAAGGGAAGCAGTAATGTATCTATGTGTTCATTGGGCTACAAGGACTGAGTTCCTATTTAAGCTTCCCATGCTAGGGAAGCTGCATGCTTAGGTTAGAAAAAGAGAAATTATGCAGAGAAATAACAAAGGGAGCATAAGTATTTAATAACCCTCATCAATTTTTACCCATTTATACTCTTAGTCTACCATTTATACTCTTGCTCTACCAAGTGTGGTGCTTGATAAATGTAATTTGCTACTCAAAGAATGGCCCATGTGACTACTCAGGTTCTTGTATCATTACACTGCACAGACAACCTGAGCCAGGCACCAGTGGTATCTCAGCAGAAGTACAATAGATTCTCTACCTCAAAGTGTATTGCTCCTCCCTTCTCAACACAGCTTATACGTTCTATAAGGGCTATATTTTTGGTTATTACTCCTACACCATATATAGTACAGTGGTATTTTGGTACTCAATTGCTTTGAAATTCACTGAATTTGATAGTCCATGCATTTCAACATGAAAAATTTGTCTCGGTACTCATCATTTGTTTGGTACTTGAAGCACAAATTATAACTTGTCATTGTCACCTATTTTGTGACTCACTACATTATTCCTTATGGGAAAATTTTGGTATTCATTATTTTTGGAATTCACTGTGTCTCCTGGAACCATTAACAATGAATACCGAGGTACCACTGTGCGGGCTGATGTAATCAAGTCCATCCATCTTGCTGATGATCATCCTCTTCTACTTTTCCATTTTTCCCACTGGCAGAGTCTTCTCTAGGCAGCTGGGATTTTGTAGGTATAGATATGTTATGGCATCTGAATATCTTTTTCAAAGCCTTTATTGCTACCCTCCCAAGTTCTAATATTTGGTCAAGTACTTTTGATTACTAGTTTATATCTTCATTGTCAATTTTAAGACTGTTTATTGTATCTGTTGTCATTAACGTGATCTTCTTAGTCTTATTTTTCCACTGTGCTCCTTAATTTCTATTACTTAGAGCTTCCAGATAATTTGCATTTTTAGCTGTTAGAGTAGCATCATCTGCATAATGCAGGTTATTGATGATTCTTTTTCCAATTCTAAAATCACTCTCATCTTCTTCCAATCCAGCTTCCCTTGATACATTCAGCATATGGACTGAATAAATAATGGAATAGTCTGTGGCTTTGTTGCAATCCTTTGCTAATCTGGAATCTGCTTTGTTCTGTTCCATCCCGCTGTGGCTTCTGGCCTATGTATACTTTTTCATGGAGACAGTGAGATGTTCTGGAATTGCCATTTTCCTGAGGATATTCCACATCTTAATCTGTTTGGCATAACCAAAAACTTTTCCATAATAAAAGAAGCCCATATTGACTTCTTTCTGATATTCTGTGACTTTTTCAATTATCTAGCATCAATCAGCATTAAACATAATGATTTTGCTAGCATGTAAATATATTGCAGAGCAGTACAATGTATATTGGTATCAGTTTGGATGTTGGAAGATTGTGTTAGTGATGAGGAAATCATTGAATGGGGAGAAGTCATTTTCTTGCTTCATTTTCAATTCCTAGGCCGTGGAATCCAACTTTGCTTTCCAGCTTAATAACTTTGGTATTCTAGTCTCCAGTTATAAGCAGCACATCTTGGATGTTTTATTAATTTCAGTTTGAACCTGACTGTGAAATTCATCCGTCTCCTCTTTTTCCGCATCAGTGCTTGCTGCATGCACTTGAATAATCATATTAAAGTGTTGTCCACAAACTCTAATTAATAATGTTTGTTCCCAAATATTGTCCTTGTTATATCCTTCCTATTAAAACTATGAAAACAATATCATTACTTCTTTATTGTTCATATCTTCCGTAGTAAACAGTAAGATATTGTGATTAAAAAGGTCCAATTTCACCCTAGTAGTGTGTCAGCATGGAGTTGATCTATTTCATCTTTCACAGTTTGAGCTTTATCCATATTCACTCCACATTTCGCTTCAGATTTTCTTTTCCTACATCGCAATAACAACAACAGCTAGACATCCTAAAGGCCTTAATTTAGCCATGACATAAACACATTAGTACTCTGAAAGATGATTTGTTCTTCCTTAGTAGCATGTTGAATGCCATTCAGTAGGGGAGGCCCTTCATCCAGTACTATATCATTAATCATTCTACATTTCATATCTTTGTGGCTTTCTTGGTAAAATACAAAAACAGTTTACCATTGCTTTCTCCAGTATGGTATGAAATGATGCCTTTTCCGTTGTGATCATTTCCCTCCAGCATCAGTTAATAGCTACAGTCAAACATTTTTTGCAGCTTTGACTCTTGTCAACTGGTAATTTGTCACACTCTTCTTGAACAAATGGTTCCAATTGTATTGGGTTTGATGTGTTCCTTCTTCCAACTGTGAGTTTTAGCTCTTTCCATAGATGCTGTATAGGATTCATAGGAGGCTACTTCGTCTATTGTTTACTTTTCAGCCACTCTTGGATTTTTCCAAGATGGAATTTTTTAGGTCCTTATTCTGCTGGAGGACCTGTGAGAGGCAATTAAGGCAGAGCTTTCTAACACTGGGCATTCTGTTTTTGCTCTAGAATGCCTTAGTAGTCTTCTGATTTCATTGTGTCCTGCACAGATTCAATGCATGCAATATAAAAGGTAGCAAAGCAACCATAGCATTATGGAACCTCCTCCATGTTTCATAGTAGGAATGGTGTCCTGATTTTTTTTTTAAAGCATAAGTTTTCCTTCTGTGAACATAGAACTCTTATGGCGCACCAAACTACTCAAATTTTTTTCATATATCCAATGGATATCCTGCCAAAAGGATATGCATTTAAGAAAACTTCAGTCTAGCTTTTTTTGTGTCTGTCAGAAGTAGGGTGTTCCTGGATCTTCTATCAGGGAGGTCTTTCAGTCAGACAACGAAGGACACTTTCACTTGACATTGTTGTACTTTGATTTTGAAGGTTAACCAGAATCTGTTTTGAAATTACCTTGCTTCTTTCTCTACCTTTAAAACTATCCTTCTGTTCAAACTGGAGTCAATTTTTCTCTTGCAGCTTTGTCCTGGGAGTTGGGCTACATTTCCATGGACCTTAAATTGTGGTCAGAAGAACATGAACAAACCAACATATTCTTGTTCCCCCTTTTGGCAATTCTCTGCTTTTCTTTCTGTGATCCATGTTCATTGGGCTGCACAAAATGCCCGAGAGAGTACTTTTTTCCTATACACATAGGCTGAGTGACTGATTATGAGATTGAAGATGCCTGTGATACCAATTAAACATTCTGCTGGAGAGATCGCTAAAGTCCAGTTCTGTCTTTTAGCTCCTAAGGGGAACTAATAATTAAATCAATGCTATTCTCATTTGCTATTATTTTTTGTAGACATAAAAACTTGTTCATTATGTTCATTTCATTAAATTAATTCACTCATCATCACTTTGTGAAAAATGGATCTTTAATTAAAAAAATGAATGCTAGTAATTGATGCTTATAGATTTGGAAATGTGGCCATTTGTTGAGCAGTTGTTATGCGGTAGACTGTACCTTCCATTGTATTTGAAATTTTTGGGAATGCTTTTCCAATGCTTATTAGGAGTTTGATGGCCAGTTTGGTGTAGTGGTTAAGGCATCAACCTAGAAACTGGGAGCCTGGGAATTCTAGTCCTTAGACACAAACCTAGCTGGGTAACCTTGGCCAGTAGTTTTTTCTCAACCCTAGGAAGGATGCAATGGCAAACCTTTTCCAAAAAACCTTGCCAAGAAAACTCCAGGGATTTGTCTAGGCAGTCTCTAAGAACCAGACATAATTGAACAGAAGAAAAAAATTAAGAGTTCAGGATCCTGTTTAGGCAATGAAATTATAATTTAGTTGCTGACATAATTTCTGTTTAAAATGCATAAATGATGGGATGTGTTACCTTGTTAATCTGATAATTTCTTATCCTAAGAATAAATGGATGTCTGGGAAAAAGTGGTATAAAGGATACAGATCCAGCTCTCCCTATATGAATGAGGCTGTTTTCAATAGCAACTTCCAGACTCTGGGATATTTTATTTTCTACAATCCATCAGGATCTTTTTCTTAGTCTTTTCTTTCTTTTTTTGGCCAACTGATTTAATGTTTCCTGTTTATCTTGCCAAACAGATGGTTTTGATATAGCACATGCTCCTTTTATGTTTTAGCTGCTTCCGATTTGCGACTGTTACTTTATTTCATTTATGAGATCCCTTTGTGTTTTATTATTGCAAGCAATAACTGCAATATGCAAATTATCTTGCCAAAAATAATGTCACATTTTCCAGTTTTAATATACAGGTTTCCACAGTTTTTAAAAGAGATAACATATACATAATTCTGCTTTCCTCCCCTAAATACTGGGCATTCAAATAATTATGGAGCTAAGCCCAGTGAGTCCCTTTGAGCTAATATAATTAGACAGTAATGTTGTGATTTTTGCTTTATCTCTTATTTAATTTGCATAGTACTTATAATGGAGGATGCAAAAATTATATTGCTTATTGTCCATAAAGAATAGAGCAAACACTGATATATGATAAAAGAATTGCACTTGTAATTGTAAAGTGAATTGAACTTTCATGGAATCCCCATAGAAACTTTTTTATTAGATTTGCAGTTATCCTTTACAAGGGGCTTTCTGTGAAATATTCAGATTTTGTTTCTGTATTCTTTTTATACTTACAATAGTATGCTAGCATTTAAAAATATTTTTCCTGCTTTTTGTGTGTGAATAGATCAGAAAGTAGATTTCCCTAACATTAAGATTTGA